GGTGGAAGACCGCGTCCCATCACTTCTAGAGGGATTCTACGATTGTCAGATCCGTCAAGAAGGATCCCTGGATATCATTAGTCAATATACAAAAGCAATTAGAGCTTCCTGTATCGGACCGAACAATCAGACGACGTGCTGTTGAAGCCGGATTGTTTTCTTGACGTCCTGCAAAGAAACTGCTGATTTCACTAATGAATCAGAAAAAAAGACTCCTGTTTGCAACATCTCATATTGACTGGAATGTGCAGAAATGGCGAACTGTCTTGTTCAGTGATAAATTGAAGTTCAACACCATTGGGAGCGATAGCATTTGCCGTGTACGTCGACCGGCCGGAAAACGTCTTGATTTACGTAACTGCCATAAGACTGTGAAGCATAGTGGAGGCAATGTAATGGTCTGGGGGTGTTTTTCTGCTTACGGTCTAGGTTCATTACATCAAATCGATGAAATAATGGACCTAGAAAACACTTTCTTTTTTTTTTTTTTTTTTTGTATGTATTTAGGTGCTCCCAGAAGTCCTTACGGTCTAGAGCTGGCGTCGAACCCCGGACCTCTGGGTTCTGAGCCAGAAATCTAACCACTGCGCCACTGCGCCACGGCTAGTTTTTTTATAATTGATGATCAAGTCATATTGGATTGTAAAATAAAATTTATTTTTAATAATTGTTTGAAAATATTTATATTAATTGTTTAAAAATAGTTTTTTTATCTTTATTGCCATATATTGGAATATATGTTAAATATTTAGGAATGTCATTGTTTTACATTTTACTTTTGGCCTTAAGCAACTAGCGTAAATATCTTAAAGAGTTATAATTAAGTTTTTAAAAATCTTTTAAGTAATTATATATTATATAAATATTTAATTATAAAAAATGTTCAAGAAGTCAAAAAATATCCCTGCAACGTTAGTAATAATGCAAAACATTGAACAGTTTGATGAAGAACTATAACGGATTCTTTAAAGAACCTAATTTTAAGGTTCTTCCGATAAGATAGATTTGGACCCCAGACGGTATAACTCAGAAAAAGTTACGCTCGGTTTTTCTTGCGTGTTTAAAACCTTATAAAACAAAAAGAATAACATGAGCTAAGAATGGGTTTTATACCGTGAAATTAACTATTTGTATTTACCATAACTACCAATTAAAATATTTACTGTTTCACCCTTACGGAAACGTATATTATTATAAATTTCCTTAATGAATGTGAAACCACTGATAAAAGCATAAGACATTTAAGTTTGACTTTAAAAACCTTAAAAAAACACATGGTGTTAAACTCGAGTAAAACTGCTCTTAATATACATGTGTTTTTGGTTTAAGCCTGGATTGTGACAAACACGTGTCTTTACAGGTTTTAATTCCGAATAAGAAACTAGATGTGTTGGTTGAAACTAAATAAGTTGCCTGATTGAGCAACTCTAGTAAATATGTATGAATCTGTATTCGCTTGATGGCAGTCAAATAAAACAGAAGCACAATCGCACTTATATTTATTACTATTGTCTTTAAGAAATATTTTCAAGTATTGTCTTTAACCATAAATTCCAATAAGAATAGTGCTTCCACTACTGGAAAAACAATAAAACGAGGATGAAGAATTACAATTTTATTAGTCACATAGGAAAGAAAGAACAAATCAATTAGAAAACTATTACTGAAAAAACAGTATTATACCACTCAAAATCTAAGTTGTTGGTCGTGATTATTCTAACGTTGCTATTTTGCGACGTTAGAATTATTCTGTTTTATCTCCAACTTTAAAAAAATTTGAAATTTCAACATTTTTGATTAATTTAGCAGTATTTTATTTTATTTTATTTACATTGAAATATATGAAATTTTAAACATGGTGTTGCATGCCATATTGCATTATTCAATCTTCTAAATGTGTAAACTTAAAAAAATTATCTTATTCTTTCTCAGATCAAACAATCATATGTTTACAACTACATAGTTGTACAAAGAAATTGTGTTGTTTTCAAAATGACTGCTAAAAATATTAATCAAGAAATAAAATGTGTTGTGAATCAAAACGAAGGTAATTTTTTTACATAATTTATGTAATGAATTTGGAAAAGTAGAACTAAGCTGTGTAATTTAGGGCCATTTTGATTAAATGTAATAGATAATTTATTGTTTATGCATCTTGGATACTCAAATAAAAAAGTTAACGTCCTTACCACCTTTAAATATATTATAAAGCACCGGACTTGTTAATAAACAGCTAAATAAATAAATTAAAAATTTATATTGCAAGTCAAACCTGCCTGCTAATAATATAGTAATTCAATTGAAATGATAAGCTTAAAATGAAAAGAATTATACACATATATAAATTTTACCTGCATGTTAGTAACATTTAATAAATATAGTATAACTTATAAATTGTAAATTTAAGCAAAAACTTACTTCTTTGTCTAAGCTGTCTGCATGATATACAACGTTATTTATATTGTCAGTAAAACTTACCTGCTTATAATGCAGTAATTTAAATAAAATGATAAAGTTAAAATAAAAGAACTTATACACACACCATTAAATTCAAAAATTTATTATATTTTTACTTTACTATTTAAAACATAATAAATTTATTATACATGTAATTTATAAAGTATAGTAATGTAAAAGCATAATAAATATCAAAGTGTGTGCATAAATTAATTTATTTTAACTAAAGACTAACACTTTATATTAGTTAAATATAAACAAATAAAAATAGTCAGAAACATCAGAATCTTTCAAAAAACTGAAAATTCCAACCTTTCCAGCGCTTGTAAAATTTGCTAATTTTTCTTGTTTTTGACTCTCTTAATAAAAATTTACCCTTTTCTATAATAGAGTTTTTTACAGAAAGTAGAATAATACAAACATACTCTACTAGAAACAAATATAATGAGAAAATTAATGTACTATCGTTTAAAACTCAGAAGTATGGTAAACATTCTGTTGTCTTTCAGTACATTTGTGAGTGGAACAAGAATCTAGTATGCATAGTGAATGTGTTCAAAAAACTACAACTTCAAACACCTTTATATTTTCTTAATCTTTCACAAAACCAATTTTAAAAAATTCTGAAAACAATTTTGTTCTAATATATTGATATAATTTTTACTTAATTTTTAAAATATACTCTTATTTTTTTAAATTATGATTACTACAACTATTATCATTAAATTTTTTATTATTATCATCAAAGTATGGTTTTTTAAAACTTTTCTTGTTTATGTATGTTCTATATGTATATTTTAATTATTAATCATATTATATTTAAAAACTGGTGTCACTACTTTGATTTTTTTTAATAGTTATTTTTTTAAACTGGTGTTATTTTTTTAAACTGGTGTCACTCCTTTGACTTTTTTTATTAGCTATTTTTTATAAAGGAAATTTGTGTACTTACTATTGCTGCTGAGTTTGGTGGCGATAAGTGGACCATGTTTAATTTTATTGGATTAGTCATTTGTATGTGTGGTATAAGTCTTCATATTGTATCCAAATCGTTAAAAGGTAAACGGTTTTCCTTTCAAAAGTTTTAAAGTTTTTATTCTTTTTAAATTTTTTTAATAAATTGTTAAAAAGTAAATGATTTCTTTTATAAGTCGAAAGTTTTGAACATTTTTTAGTCCGGTAGAATTTTAGCCTAAATATTTTGTTAAATAATCCTGTAGAATTTTAAGCTCAAGTAGGGTCAGATATCAAAAAATATTATTATAAAAACATAGCCCCGGGTGCCCGCAAAATTAGGGTCCCCTAAAAATTTTTTAAAGTCTTTTTTTTTTTTTAGTCATTTTTAGTCTCTGGTCCATAGAAAGGCCTCCAAAAACAAAAATAGCCCCGGGCCCCAAGAAGTCTTAATCCGCCACTGTAATTAAGTTGAAAGTTAAAACTAAATAAATAAGAATGTTATAGAACAATGTTTGTATTTTGTAAAACAAGATAGAAATCCAAAACACCAATATTCAAAAAAAAAAACTAAATAAATAAAAGTTTTTTGAGCATAAAGTAGCGTTTTCAATAAAATTTTGCTGAGTTTGGTGGCGTTATTTTATTTCCAACTAGTTGTTATTTTATTAAAAATGTGACATACAAAAGTAGCAACAGTGTTGCAACTGTTTTTTTTAATTTGATTTTTCTGTGAAAAATAGTAATTGCAATTGTTTTTTGTAAGTATTGCAATTATTTTTTTATCATACTATTGTGTATTCTATTGTGTATAAGTTTAATTATCTAGAAAGTTCAGTTTAATGTAAATCTCCTGAAAATGCAGATTGATTTAAAATATTTGTTAGCTTTTTTTTCAATTTTTTTTTCAATTTTTACATTGTTTTAAATTTTTAGATCCAGCATATTCTGTGGTAAAAAGTGATGAAAGTGCGATAGCTTTAACTTCCCTTATAACACCCCAGTGGGCACAGGACGTAAAAAAGACGTCCTTACGACGTTCAAATCGCGTCCGTCCGTCCCATAAAATTTCAAACGTCTTTTGAACGTCTTTTTCGCGTCCAATAATTTTTTCGTCCAAAAAATATCCAAAATGCTTTATTAAATTAAAAAAAATTAGTTAAATCACGCAAGCGCTAAAACTTCTTAAAATTTTTAAGTAACGCGTTTTTGATAAAGTTTTTTTTTCAATTACAAAAGAAGTCTTTTAACAACGACTAATAGACACGTTCCATCTAATTTTTGTTTTTGTTATCAATTACTTGAAAATTGTGGTAATATTGATACAGCTAATGAAATTTTTACAGATAATGAAAGAAACGATTTAAAACTGAATATATGCAATACTATCTATATATATATACTTGATATACTATTAGTATAGTATTGCTATATCAAGAACCAAGTTCTAACAATAAGATTTAGACATCTCATGCAGAATCGAATTTTTCAATAGGAAAACCTGTTAATGATCATGGAACAATAATCCTGATAATTCTTTGAATTCAATGTCTTTACTCGACAACATTATGCTATTTTATAATGGAACCAGTACATTAGTTAATGATTCTCTTGAAATATTGCCAAATCAAGGTTTGGAACTTCCCAAAGATTAAAGGAGAATTTTAAAAGCACCTTATAAAAAGCGACTTATAGACAGGTTCTTGCTAATTTATATATATTTTTTGAAACATTTAATTACTTGAGAATCTTATTAATATTGATACATATATTGAAATTGATTCAGATATTGAAATAAATAGTTAAAAACTGAGTATATGATATACTATATATATATATATATATATATATATATATATATATATATATATATATATATATATATATATATATATATATATATATATATATATATATATATATATATATATATATATATATATATAAATATAAATATATTAAGTATATACTTGACACTTGATATAGTATTTCAAGTATAATAATTGATATACTATATCAAGAACCAAGTTCTGACTGTTTGAAAGACTTAGACATTGCAGAATTTCATGCATAGTCATATTTTTCAAAAAAAAAACCTATTAATAATACAGAGAGTTTATGGTGATAATTCAATATAATTCAATATCTTTAATTAACAACTTTTAGATTGTTCTATTCGAAATAATTGGACCAGTACATTAGTTAATGAACTTTTTAAAATATTACAATATCAAGTTTTGGAACTTCACTAATAACCAATTACTTAACTTTAGTAATTAGTTATTAATGAAGTTCAAAAGTTTTGACTAAAAAATAAGTCTAATTGAAAAAATTAAACCAGTCGTAACAGTTATATAAAAGACAGGAGGGTAGAAAATTTTCTTTACTCTAAAGGAAATTTTCTACCTACCTGTCTTTTATATAACTGTATTACTTGTTTAATTTTTTTAATTAGACATTTTTTAGTGGCTTATCCTACTCTTTTATTATCTGATTATCTAGAAATATCTTTTAGAAGATAGATGATGTGATAGATGATAGATGATTTAGAAGATAGATGATATGATAGATGATAGATGGTGATAGTGGCCGCACTGTTTAGATTCAACAGCTGATGTTGTTTTCTTCTAATAGGAACTTGGACTGCTTTCCAAATACTTGTCTGGATTATTAAAAAAATATCACGGTAAGTGTACAGTAAAACTATATATTTAACCTAAAAAATCGATAAAAAAGTTACCTTGCATAACTTCTGCTCTGAACAAATCATTTTTAATCTTAAATTCTCATAACTCTCAACAAACATAACCTCAATTTATGTTTCATCACACCTTTAAAGGTTATAACCTATAACTTGATTCTTTCTTTTGTTAAGATGTTTTTTTTTTCAGTGATACACATCATGGGGTAACTAAAGCCACATCATAAAGGTGGCTTTTGTTACCCCATACTTTATAATAAGTCAAAATTCCTCAAATAATAAATTTTTTCTCTTTTTAAAAACTAAAAATGCCTCGAAAACCAAAGAACTCTAATTCAGATATGGATCCAGAAACATTTAGTGACCTGGAATCGGAGATACCAGTAGATCTCTAACTAGAAGAAACAACTTATGACGAACCCCCCAAAATAGGAGTCTATAAAGGAGAACTTAAACCTGATATTTACGTCATTGTTGAGCTCATCTTTGATAAGAACACAAAAAAAGAAACCACCAAACAGTTCTATGGAGTCATTCTTAGAACTTGTTTTGAGAAGAACGAAGTTACAGTAAAGTTTTTCATTAACATTTAGGAAAATTAATAAATATTTAATAAAAATAATATTAACGTACTACTACAATTTTATCAAAAATATTTATATTAAAAACAGTTTTTTTGCATTATTTTGCATCATTCTTTCTTTTTTTTTTAGCAATAATAAAAATGAGTGGGCTCCAGAATGCCAACCCAGAAATCTATGAGAGTGTTGGCGATAGAACTGTCACTGATGAAGAAAAAAATGAAGAGGTTTATGATTGTTTCGATGCTAGAGAAATTTTTGATATCTTTTATTTTTTACATTTTGTTCGTATAAATTTAGATACGTTGTATATGTTGAATCATAATATTATATATTACTGTCGTCTTCAAAAATTTTTTTTTGTTTTTACATCTTCTGTTTTATCTGTTGATTTAATGTGATTAATTGATTGAAAAATCTTAAACTTTCTTACATTTAATCCGTTATATCAACGATCCTGAACATCCTTTAACATTAGAGCAACTAAACGTGGTGGAAGAAAAAAATATACAAATAGACGACACGCAAAACTCACTACAGGTCTACTTTACCCCTACCATTCCGCATTGTAGTATGGCAACATTAATTGGGCTTTCCATACGTGTTCTTTTACTTTGTTCGTTACCTTCAAGGTTTAAGGTATTTTTTGAATTTCCACATAATATATAGCTATCAAAATAGTATTAATAGCTATTAAAATGACATTTATAGCTATCAAAATAATATTTATAGCTATCAAAATAATGTTTATAGCTATCAAAATAATATTTATAGCTATAAAAATGATATTTGTATCTATCAAAATAATATTTATAGCTAACAAAATAATATTTATAGCAATCAAAATAATATTCAGAGCAATCAAAATAATATTTATAGCAATCAAAATAATATTTATAGCTATCAAAATAGTATTTATAGCTATCAAAATAGTATTTATAGCTATCAAATTAATATTTATAGCTATAAAAATAATATTTATCAGCTATCAAAATAACGAGTACAATTGTTTAAATTTCTGTTTAGATAAATAAGTTAATGTTTAATTTATATTATGTTTTTATACTTTTATAACTTTATTGTTATCTTCACTAGAGAAATGCAATCAAACAAAACTTTATCTGAATTTTCACTAGAGAAATGCAATAAAACAAAATTTTGATTTTCTTGTTTTAATATTGATGTATATGTTCTGATGATTTTCTATTCTGATGGTCTAGAGACATTATCCCATTTAGATTAATAATGTATGTCCCAGCTTTGCAAAATTTATGATATTTTTTTAATGAAAACTATTAACTGCAGGTTGACGTTATGATTTCGCCAGGAACCCATGTTTCAGAGACAGCTGGTGAGCCTAAGTTTAATTAGTTTATTAGGAGAAAAATTTTGTTGTGTCATTTCATTTTATTTCTTCTTGGTTATTTAAAAAATACTTTTGTCATCAAATCATTTTATTGGTTTCGAATATTATATTTTAATGATAGAAAATTGTTTGTGTGATTTTATGTGTACTTTTATTATCATATTTTCTTTTATATCAATACTAAATAATAGGTAAAGTAAATTTGAAAAAAAAAAACTGTTTTCGTTTCGTTGAATATTTTTTATTACTTAATTTTATTTTTTAATCTTTTAGTTCAACAATTTTATGCAATAACAAAGTTCAGCAATTTATCAAAATAGTTTAGTCAAAATAATCGAAAAAATAGTGGTAGGTTTGCAATAATTTGCATAGAGCTGAAAATTATTAAATTTTATTGAAAAGTTATTTTTAAAAAAATGTAAAAAGTCCCCACCAATTCCAAATCTGGATAAAAAAGTACGGATATGGAATTTTCTGTGGATCGCCCATAAATTATGTCACGCAACTTTTGATCGTTTTTGACCTCTCTCTATCCCTCGTCACAACATCGTTACACTTTAGCAACAAGCCGTCGCAAAATCACTTCCCCTTCCTCCCTCATATAGCATGACGTAATTTATGGACGACCCCTAGTGTATTTTACTATTTACAAAAAAGGTTTTTCGGCATTTAATTGATTTTGAATTAAAACAACAAAATGTTGCACAGTTTTAAAGAGTTTTATTATTTAGCTGTTCTAAAATAAATTAAATTTAATTAAAACTAGGTTTTTATAAAAATATGTTAAAAAAAGCTATTGAATAGTATTAATTTTGTATAGTTTTCGATTACTAATTTTCTTATATATAATTTCTTTTAAAGCCATTTTAATGACCCCTGTTATAAACAAATGCGGAGTGAACCTGCAAAACCAGATAAGTCCACTCTGAAAAAATTACGGGAAAATGAGAAAAATAAAAAACTAATTCTGCAGAAATCAAAGTTTTCATCACGCTTTATTCTGTCTGATTATGCAAGTCTGATCTATTTGATGACGCGTAGAACATGTCCACGATACTTGGGGCACTAAATGCACGTCAAATGTTAGGAGTGGATTTGTCTGGTTTTGCAGGATCACTCCTTAAATATTCTTTTGCACGATTTTTCAAACTAAATTTTCTACTAAGTTTTAGGCGCTAAAAGTTTCATCACATTAAACTAAATTACGCGCGGTCAGTTTGTCATAAACGATATTTTGTCTGACTTTTACAGTTTATACGTTTGGTTATTTTTAAATATTTCTCATAAAGATTTGTACTATTTAAAACTTTTTTTAAAATATCGCAATTATGTTTTATTTGTTGTAAGCTTTTAACAGCAAGTTTTATACAGCAACTTTTAACAGCAATAGTTGTTATTTGAGGAATAAAAACTTTAATTGATTCTAGTGTTGATAGAAATAGTATTTCTATCAACACTATTCCGAATAATTTTCCGGGTATACTCGGAAGAGTACTATTATAACATTTATAAGACAACAACAGATGGGTCAAGCCAGTACACCCAAATTTAGTCCACCTCGTTCCAGACCTCGCGTAATTAAATCCAATTTTTATTTCAAAAAATATTGTTTATTTTGCGACGATGAAGCGAATGAAGAGGCTGCAAAAAAAAAAAGCGTAAAATTTATAAAGTTGTTACCCTTGAATTTAAAGAATCGATTTTTAAGGTTGGACGGAGTCGGTCTGATGACGTAGCTAAAAAATGTGAATATATATATATATATATATATATATATATATATATATATATATATATATACTGACAACGAAAATAAAATGACTAAAATGAGAAAACTTTTTTAGGCTGAAACTCCTAAATTGATAACATATGGTTACTCTGCTCATTTTTTAAATTTGGTTGAAACTTTGGTCTCTACGAAGTCTGGTTTTTGCACTTAATCTGGTGGATTTTTGTACGAACTTGGCGGTTTTTTTTATTTAATCTGGTGGTTTTTTGCATTCCCATGGTGGTTTGTTGCATTTCCACATTTTTATACTCAATCTGGCAGTTTTAAAATTTATATTAATTTTATAATGCATGTTATGAATTGCTTAAATTTTTAGTAGTAACAAATATTCTAGATACTCTAGTTAAAATTAAATTTAGATGTGTAACAAATAATATATATATATATATATATATATATATATATATATATATATATATATATATATATATATATATATGTGTATGTATACATTAGTAAAAAAATCACTTAGCAAACTTTTATATATATATATATATATATATATATATATATATATATATATATATATATATATATATATATATATATATATATATATACATTAGTAAAAAATCACTTATCAAACTTTTTTCATTTTACACTGAATTAAATAAATGGAGACTCATTAGAAAGAAATGAGATTTTCAGAAATAACTTATTGACATACATTGTAGTATTCTTAGTTTTCGAGAATGTTTCTTCACAAGGATTTAGAAAAGGTGAGTATTGGGGTAAAAAACGAATTTCATAGAGATAACTATCATAAAAATCTGATAATGAATGATGAAACTTAACGTTGTCCATCACCAAGGTAAACTCTTCTTCTTCTCCCAAAATACTTTTAAGCGTATTTAAGAATCCTTTAAAGATTTCTGCTGTCACCCCAACGCCAATTATTACTTCACAGTGGACTATTTTTAAACAATTTAATGCTAACATCATAGTTATGTTACGGCCTCTTGATGACAATACACGTTGATTTGGGGTCGTTCATCGGAGACTGTATCCGTGGTTTCTTAACATATGAAGGTTGAACGGACTTTCATCGATGTAAATGATATTTCTGTAGCGTTGTTGCAATGTCAAGTTTAAATACCATGAAACAAATGTTTTTCTTTCTTCTTTTACCTCTGCAGTATTGCGTCTTTCACTAATGGCTCTTAAGGTGAGTTTCCACTAATCTTTTTTTCTACGGAAAAGGGAAAGGAACGGGAAAACAATCACGTGAGCATGCGCAGTTTTCTTTCGGACAAATAAAAACTTTTATTACGCATGCTCACGTGATTATTTTTTTCTTTCCTATCCCGTTCCCGTAGAAAAACGGATGAGTGGAAACTCGCCTTTAATATTTTGTATGTATAATTCAATTTTTTTAACTATCGCCATAATGTAGAGACATTGACATCAAGTCCCAGTGCTACTTTTAACTCCTGTAGATTGTAGTTTTGTTATCTCCAATCAATTCGTGTAGCTTATTTCTTATTTCCTCAGTACAACCTGACTGTCGAAAACCACCTCTAATACAAGGATTGATATTACCTGTTGATAAATATCGATCGACCAGGCGTCGTGTTGTAGTCTCACTTCTATGCACGAGTTCCGATCATTCTTTCACACTTTTCACTTCGTTAATTAGCAGATTAATGATCAAATTTCCTACTTCAACATTAATCTCTGAGCATTGTCTTTATGCGTTATTCATTTTAAATTTTTGAAAAATAAGAGAAAACGGGCTTAAATTGTACATAAGGAAGTTAAATTAAGTAAAGCGATAAAAACAAAAGTGTTTATCATAATTAAGAAAAACCACCAGATTGAATGAAAAAAACCACCAGACTAAATGGAAAAAACCGCCAGATTCGTGCAAAAGTCCAGCAGATTGAATGCAAAAACCGGTAGTAAAGCATATTATGGCAATTTATAAATATTTTTGTAATCATTACCAACCACACGTATGGATTAAATTCTAAATTGTTATTTACTTATTTGTCATATTCTGTAATACAAAACTATAAAATAAAACAGCTGTGTTAATGATATAAGCCTAATGATAATGATGGCAAAAGAGATCCTAGCTTTATTTTAACGAAGTTATTTTTAAATATTTCTTTGTTAAATTTTCTTAAACAAATTTATTATAGGGTTGGTTATTGGAAAAAGGTGGACTGATGTCACAGCTACCCAATGATACTTGCTGGAACTCCCAACTAGATTGTTTACAGATATATATATCTAATCATTCTCTGTACGTTGATATTAGAGATGAGCATATGGAATCCATTGATCCTTCGATAGGAAACCTAATTGAAATTCTGTCAAAACAGAGAGAATCAATAAATTTATATTCACAACTGAAAATTGTTGGTGGTGCGTTAGATAAGGTTAATAAAATTAGTTATTAACTGGATTTGTTAAATTTAATTATAATAAGTATATTAAAACTACATATATTAGGAAAAATGTCATCATTAACTTTATTTACCTAATTATTAACAAAATTATTGTATTTACTGAAGTTGCAGGCAGACAATACAACTTTGTCTGCGGCAGTTGAGATTTGGCAAAGCCTCATACATAATAAAAAATTTGTTAAAAGATGTTATTTTAAAGAGGTTTAAGAAAGCAATAGTTTCTTTTTCTGGCCAATTTAATAGATTCAAAATACAAAAATAACTAGACAATTGTAAAAAATTTAAAATTTTGCATCTGATAAATTTTAAATAAAAACAAATGTAAAGTTTTTATTATAGTTAATACTCTTATAACTATACTTAATTACTAGGAAGAACATTGGATAGAAGTCAAGAAGAAGAAGCTGAAGAATGGTTGAATGAAGTCTATCCTGAATTTATGCCAAGGATACTATGCATTTAAACAAAAAGATGTTAATTGTTTCCCAACATAATTATTTAACGATAGTGTAAAAAGCACAACATCAGCAACAAATTGGTGGAGAATTATAGAAATGAAGGAATCTAAGCCTTCCATATTGCCTTCAAACTTTGCAAAATTTTTACGGCAGTTGCACACTTGTCTTGCTAGTCTGGATCCATTGAATTATATTTTCTCATCTTTTGGGATTATTTGGAGTAAAATTAAGAATCGTTTAAGAAGAAAAAAAGCTGAAACGTTTGTATAAAATTACAGACATTTAAGATCAAGAAGCGCAATTGCTGATGACTGTTAGATTACTTTGTTTTAATTGCTTAAGCAATTAAAACAAAGTAATCTAACAGTCATCAGCAAGTAATAATAATATTAAAAGATCTTTTTACTTATGACGTTGAAAATATTAATATTACTATTGAAAAAGTCAGGAATAAAATAATTTCATTCAATGTTATTGAAAGTAGTAGCGATAATTAAATATGTAAAAGATTACTTTATCAGTTCAATCAAAACCTTCAAAATTTGAAAAACGTGGACCAACACCAAAACTATGGATACAACATTTTAATATGGTGTCAATTGCAAAGAACTTTCCCAGTGGGCACCCGACGTCAATCCGACGTCGGATTTACGTACGATTTTCATCAGCGATGTCAAAAGACCTATTCCGACGTTGTTCCGATGTCAGTAAAATGACGTCGGGCGATGTCTTCATCTCAACATCCCCTGACGTCGTTTCGATGTATTTTGACGTTGTTCCGACATCTTATAAAAGACGTCCAAAAAACGTCGCAGTACTGACATCGATCCAACGTCGATAAAAAGACGTCGGGCAACGTCATAATATTAACGTACTCCGATGTCTTTTGACGTCTTCCGACGTCAATCCAACGTCCTTAAAACGACGTCGGAACAACGTCGTAAGACATCGCTGATGAAAATTTAATCCAAACCCAACAATATGTGTGCAATTGCGCTCTTCAATAAATATGTGAACTAAGCGTGTTTTTTATTAATGGAAAGAAGTTTGAATAATGGTTGATAAAACATCATGAGGTTTTGTATGATGCACTTGCATAGTTTTTTAACTGTTAACATTTTCGAGTATACATTTTTTATAATATATAACTATTCGTTTTAATATTTATATAATATTTAAACAAAATTATTTCTTATCAAAGTAATAATTCCCAAATAGCTACGAGTATAAATTACTAAATAAACTCATCAATGAATATATCTCTGTGGTGTAGTGGTAAGCGCGTAGGATTTAGTTTCTATTAGACCGAGGTACGATTCCTGCCTATGGCATCGTTTTTTAGTTTTCAAAAACACGTTGGATTTACATCGGAATGCCGACGTCGCGCGATGTCAGTTTATCCGACGTCAAATAACATTTCCATTTCCAACGTAAACCCAACGTCGATCCGACGTCGAGATCCGACGTCACTCGACGTTCGTTCGACGTCGAAATGCCCACTGGGTTATAAGAGCTGAACGCACGGGAGATTGGAAAGGTTATTTGAATACCATTTAAAAAAGTGCATCCTCATTTCCACGCATTAGAAAATTTTCCTTATGCTAAGTCTGCGCACTTGTATCAGATAACCTCAGTTGTGGTATTTAATTGAATATGCTGATCAAGCAATCAATCATGAAATCAATGAAGACAAATTGCTTGAGGAAGAACCGCAAAACACAGTGTATAAGTAAATGGGTTTATGGCATGCATACAATAAATACTGTTTGTAAAGGATTGTAAGATTTTTTTGATATTAGAATGGGTAAAATATATCAGCATGTAAATGCAAGTGATTCAAAAATAAAGAAAGATAATAAAGATACTGAAAAACTTAATGAGTTATTTTCTTTACATGATTCTTTGACAATAGTCAAAGAAATCATATTAATTGTCATTGGTGTCTTCGGTAACATTAAAACTTTCATAAAGTTTGTGAAGTGAAGCTTCTATGTCTAAAAAGCCCGGGAAACATTTAATGTCAAGTTAAAACGTGCTGATAAAAAAACTTCCTCTTTTAATCATGAGTAGCGCCATAAGGGTTCATAATAAAAAAGTATCTGTAGATTCAGTATTGTTATTTCAATGTATGAGTATCACTGAGACGATTTAAAAAAATTTAAAAATTTTTTAAATATAAGTTAGCCTTCTACCCATTATCACTGTTTGATGAGAGTGGAAAAGGGCCATCCATAAAGGACGTCACCATTTTTTAGCCAATTTTTGACCCCCTCCCCCCCTTTTTTGTCACCAGTTGTCCTTTTTCCCTTTACCCCCCTTGAAAGGGACGTCATAAAATCCTAAACCCATTTCCTATTTTTAACTCCAAAAAAATTTATTTCATCTCGCAATGATTTTTGAATCTGCTGCTACACCTTTGAAAAATAAAATTAAAAATTTTCTCATACATTATTTTCTTAAAAACACATGTATACGTAGTTTTCCATGTTAATTAAACTAAAATCAAAAATCTATAAAGTGACATCTTTTTCTGACAACCTCCTCCCCTCCCCTTTTCCTTTTTTGTCTTTTTTAACTCAACCCACTCCCCCCTCCCTCCTATTTGGATGACGTCATTTATGGATGGCCCCAAAGCGTAAAACATAAAAATTAGCTTTTTTACGAATGCTTTAAAGTGAACATTAAAATTCACAAAGCAAATGCCAGTCACATCATCGATGAGAGATATTTATTATCTATCGTTTTGTGGGATTAAGAAGAAACGTTTAACGCTATTTTTGATAAATACATTCAGTATGTATTCAGTGTGTACATATGTTTTGGTCATCAAGTTCCTAAAGTAGTATTAGACGGTTTTACTGATTATAGAAAAGATGTTAACGCTGCAGAACAGCGTCGTCATACCACTAAAACATCTCCATCTTATGATGTCATTTTTTATCATTTTTTAACGGTTCAAACAAGCCAACAGAATTCCTTGCATACTCACAACAAGTCTTGCTTCGTTTTAATGTTATGCAAAACGTTAACAGCGGCAAATATTAGAGTGAACCAAGCTGATAATGACGCTAATATCTTCATTACATACAGTAACTAGCTGCGATACTATATTTATATTTAAATTATTTAAACATCGTGGTTTAATTATTCGCGCCAAAGTATTTCAATAGATTGACTAACCCACAAGACATCATCACAAACGGAATTCGTTTATTTTTTGCTTTATATGGAACTCAAAAAAAAATTGTTTGTACAAACAAGTATAGATATTTAAATATTGTAAAAAATACACGGAATAATAATAGAGTGGAATTATCTTGTCTTCTTCTAACATCTGCTTCTGCTAGTCAACACTTATATATTGAACATAAAACCAAGTTCCAGTATGGCTAGGCAACCAACTGGACCAAGCAGACTGAGGTTGGAAATTAGTAGGTAATACATTGGAACCAGTTCAAACTTGACTCCCACCTGGTTTAGAAAATCCATTTTTTTGCAATTGCAAATAGGGTTATAGGCAAAAAAAGTCGAGTTATTGTGTTCACAAGTATGTACTAATTGTCGAGGACAGTCTTGCTCCAATGTTGAATCAAATTTTAATTTCCATAAACAGACGTGTTATTGCACCGTAAGAGTTTAAAGAAAAAATTGTAGAGTTTTTAAATCTTCAGTATAGTCGAAAAAGACATATAAAAAAGTTAAAACATAGCTAAAAGTTTTATGAGCAAATAACCGAAGAAAATGTTAAGAAAGCAATTGTTTGCAGAAAAGAAGACAATTCAGAAGTTAGACGCATACAAAAAAAGTTACGAAGGTGTAAGATGAATTGAGACGTTACAATTTAAGTGTAGATGAAATTAATGAAAATGAAGTTGAAAGCTGGGAGGAAAGCAATCTGATGGTAAAAAAAGTTTTTAAAGACTTATTATGTATTAAAAATGTCCAAATTGAACGGGTCTATAGAACAGGAAAAAAAAGAGTCATTTAAACCGAGATATAATATTGATTAAACTTTTTGATTTTAAAGATAAAGTTGCAATTTTGTGCTAGTTAAGCAATCTGAAAGGGAAAAACATTTATATAAAAGAGAATTTCTGCTCTAAAACAACGCAAATCAGAAAAGGTTTGAGGGAGATAATGAAAATCGAACGAGCAGCTGGTAAGTTTGCATATATATCTTATGATAAATTAATAATTTGCGATTGGGTAGCAAAGAAACCATTTTAATGAAACCTAAAGAAAGTGTTAAATATTTAATTTATTTTTAATTGATTTGTTTAAACCTTTAAATTGTTTTCAAAAAAGGTATTTGAAATCTAATATATCGTAAATGC